TTAACTTCGCCTCCGGCGAATAATTGTTAAATGGATGTATGCAGAATTCATAAAACGACAAAAAGGAAATTAGATAGATAGATAGATAGTTTATTAAAATGTCGAACATGGCAGTCCGTAGACTGAATTGCGTTACAATTACTTAAAACAAAGAATAAATAAATTCCAAAAAAATAAATACTAATTGAAATAATAACAAAAAACATTTCTATAAAAATGCGAAAAACTCTCTATATATAACTATGTACAAACTAGTCTAAAAATTTATGTACAATTTATGTGCACATACTTGGAATAAAAAATTACCTTTAAAGCATGCATTTTGTGGTCTAAAATGGTAAAACGAACCATACTAGCTCAAGGGATCTATTAGACTTGCTACAAGTCGACCTCTTGGCGGGTGGAGCGAGCCTTGTTTGGCTGCGAAGCGACCAACCGCGAACGGCGAAGTTGCGAGAAGTCGTCCCGCGCCATATGAAATCCGACAAAGGACTTTTTTGAAAGTCTAGGCATCTATTTCCTAGTGGCTTGAAGCCTTGCTAAAACGGCGGTCTGGAACACAACCATTGAGTTTCACGATTTGCATTACAGTAACTAGAATAGAAACTTATTTTCATATAAAAGGAATAGGACCCAACTCACCTGCAATGGGCCCACCGGCGGCCGCAGTAAATGAATAAAGAACGTTATTGATACAGAAGGACGCTGTTGTTCTTTTTGCATCCACACAGCTCAAAAGAATAAAACACTGACTTGCTATAAAAACTCCATCACTGAAGCCATACACAGCACTGAAGACAATTAAGAGGCAGTCTCCCTAAAAGCGTTCCACTCGATTTTGGACTCGCAAAAACTTTTGCCTCATATTTTTATCATCAACACTACTATCCATCCTAATAACGAAACTGCAGTTAGAATGAGGAAATTGTTTATTTTACTGCCATTCCCAGCATTTCATTGCTGGACGACCGTTAGCGGCTAAAATATGCAAATTTTAGATGCCGTTTTACAGGTTTTTTAACGATCGTTTAAAAGTACTTCGGGTCATCAAATCCTAGACTATTGCACTCATTTGGAAGTATATTACTTCTTCTTACTGTTCCAATACCATTTAGGCATTATCTTTCTGTAATCAGCAAAAACTGGTCGTCTTTATTTCACTAACCCAATTAAGAAAGCAAGATGCACGAATAAATGCCTCAAAAAACATCTCAAAATTCTCAAAAGTGGCACCTAAACTAGAACTAAAAACATGTTTTAGTTAAAGATTAATAGCTATTTTGTCAAGTTATGCAATAAAACTTGTGGCACAACGCGATTCAGAATTGAAGGATTCGACCTAAATTTGCATATTGATGCCGAATTCGCGTGGCGTGACACGGGCCGCAGTGACAGTAAAAAAAATTCTTCGTGATCCTACAAAAGACAATTTTTCTGTTTTATTTTTTTTCTTGTTTTTTTTTTGTTCTTTTTTTTTTACTTTATCAACAAGAAAAATCGTAAATAGGTTAAGCTTATAGAAGTTTAAGTTTACTTTTCCACTGACCTTCGTATCAATAGTCTCGGCCGGCCGTCCTTTGTTCGACTCCCAGTAGTTGGCCTTCTTATTAGTAGAGTGGGTCAGGAAAAATACGCATTTCTCTCTACCCCACCCCTTCGCCCTTTTCTTACTGGCATCCCTTGGAGGGTCGCCCCCACAGTCTGAACGTCTGGAAGAGGCTATTCGACATACTTCAATCGCGTTCTAACGAACATTTTTGTTTTACAGATAACATTAACGAGAACAATGCTTCTCCTGTCTTGTGACAGGTGGAAGAATTTACATTTTGTAGCTAGAATGTCCTTCACACATTCACCTTTACACTATATGGGACGATGGTACACGGTAGTCCTTAAAGAAAAATTAAGAAAATGTGGACTGGAGTTCAAAGAAGTAAAATCAACAATCCGTTAATTACGTCTACGCCACAATAGGTCTCGTACTTATAAATTCTTATCAAGTAAATTGTTTTTTGCCCTTAAAAAAATGAAATCAGCTGTGAAATGTACATTGAATTAAGTTAGTGTCCGGACACCTTTAGGAATTTGATATTAGTATAAATTCTAAGATGTATAAATCTACCGGCCTTCGATCACAAATCTGATTGTCTATATACAGTGCTAGTGCTATGCTGGTAATGCTGTACTCTATCAATTTCGTGATGGACAGCGAGTGAAGTGACTGAGTAGCCAGGGGTAGCCAGACAGTGTTCGGTTGTAACCTTTTTTATACCACCACCGAATAAAACCGTTAGCCTGTCAAGTTGTTAAGCTTGTTATATTGTTATATTTGACTGTTTTAGGGAAATTTGTACCAGATCTTTGTTTACTCGCATGCAATCTCGCTCGTTTTTTGTTTTTGTATTTTTTCATAAGATTTGTGAAGTATTTGCGGTCTTTATATTCTTTGTCATAGCATCTCGGTATGCAGACATATAAAAGCAATAAGATCCTCTCTGAGTGGCTCAACAAAACTGTCCGCGGTAGGCTGGTGCATCAAATGAGCGCCGCACTGTAGTCGCAAAAACGAAATGATAAACGCGGTGGCGCTTAATTTAGTAAAATCGATATCAATATGAATTTGGATCCACACGGAGGGTCCAAAGGCCGATTTTTAAAAATGTGATCCTAGATCCTTCAGCTGTTGTTCAGATGTATGTATTTTTACATCATTAACGCGGTAGAATGCAAGCGTCTGTAAGAACAGGGTAATAACCGCTAACAAGACGTGAGACGAGAAAAGACGTAAAAACAGTGTAGGGGTCTCGACCTGGAGAAATGTTCATGCTCGGGAAACCTTCGACAATGCCGGATTCAGACTTCACGTCAGTTCTCACCTCTACTGATTGTTCGAATTCAGAGGTTTTTGTCCACGTTGGGCTTCAATAGAAAATTCTGTCAGTGAATTCTCCATGGTACTAAACAATTGTCATGAGTACTCTCAGTAATATGCCTAAAGGTAGGTAATCACGATTTTGGCAATTTAAGAGGGAGTCTCCCTAAAACCGGTCCACTGCCTTTCGGGTCGGAAAATCAATTTCCTTTAAACTTTGCCCATGAATATATCTTAGTCCAAAAGTAATTGAAACCGCATTAGTTTTTGAAAATATTTCAAAATAAAATTTTTCGGGAGGAAAATCACTTCAGCACTCGGCGGCCAAATTTTCGCAGTGACAAAGAGTGAAAATAGCCCAAATTGCCGAGTTCACCACTTCAAAGTTTTGCACTTTCAACGATTTTTTTCACTTCCTAGGACTAAATTGGTCCTTAAATGATGTAATGGACACAATTTTGGTCTTTCAAAAACAACTCGTGTCTACTAAATATTTTTTGATTTACACCCACCGTGCCGTACGCAGGAAATGACTCAAAAATGCATATTTTCATCCTAGCACTGTGCAAAATCCCCACATCTTCTAAACAAAATGTCTTTTCAGACCAACAAAGGGAATGTCCAAAAACATAGAAACATAAAAATATGTTGTTATTTTAACGATTTATCAGCACAGCTGATCGACGAAATATGCCTATTTTCTGTTATGACTGTTTACAATACACGATGCAAGGTCTTAATGCAAAGCCCGAATAACACAAGAATTCATCAAATGTATCAAGTATTTTAAACTTTTTGTGACTTTTGACATAATAGAACATCATGCAGGAAAGGAAAGCCTTTAAGCCGAACGCATTAATACTACAGGTGTACCTGTTTACAGCGCTTGATCCGATCGACTCGTCTTCGCTGTGTACACGAAACTGATATCACATGATGGCGCCTGTCACGCATTCCTATATCTGGAATCGTTACGCCGCGAAAACACTTTTTGCTAGTCTGACTAAAACTGACAGGCAGGAAATTATCTTATCAATAGAGTATTCTATTATATTTATTGCTGTTTTCGTTGACAAGCTACAATATCAAGAATCATGCATGCATAAGTGCCCAGTGCATTAACAACAGCAACATTTTAGTTTTCCAGGAACAGGCTCCTATCCATTCAGGTTAGGATTTATAAAACAATTGGTCGTCGCTATGAGCTTTCAGTTTGTTTTGTTTTATGTTTGTCGATAATGTTTTTATTTATTATTTTTTTAAATATATTTCATATTTCTGGTAGCCCGTGGTATTAAACCGACGAGTACCTGTTCTCAGGTCTTATCAAGCTCCCTGACTCAGGGTGGGGTTAGGAATAGGGGTGGAGTGTGCTTGCTAGCAGGAGGTCCGCTAGACTGTTCACAGTCCTCTATTTTTCCGTAAATCGTCGGTATCAAGCACATTCTCTAACAGATGGCCTTCGTGGTTTTAAAATGTACCGGGTTTAGCCTGGGGATGACTATGAAATCTACTCTTGGGGCAGCGGACCCAAGAAGGCCCGCACATCTGGACGATTTTACGGAAAGATAATGGACAGTGAACAGTCTAGTGGCCCGCAAGCAAACATCCCCCTTGCTATTATCCTAGAACAAATACTGTATCTTTGAAATTAGGTTACCCTGCATTTAAAACTGGCGTGCTGGTTTACCTCGTTTAGGGCTTTCGATTTGGACTCTATTCCTTCCGTTTCCGACTAGTAGTTTTAGCCAGGGCTAAAAGCGCCGCTCTGACTCGTTAATATACTAAAAGTTGTACCCCAGAAAAAAAAAAAATTAATAAAAATCGTGTAATGGTAACCGGTGACGGCAACGAGAAATGCAATAAAAAATCAATAGGGCTTAAGAGCGAAAAAAAAAGTTTGCACGTGCAGCACATTTTTTTGTACATTTCTTTGCCATTGTTTTGGACGACTTCAAAGTACGTGAAACGTCCTAGTTGCACGTTTTATGGAGAAAAAATCGTATATGTTCCCACGTTCCATTTTTGTTTCACTGCCGCTCATTTTAACCTTGCTGGCCGCTAACGTTTGTCATTTTCTCATCGCAGCTTTGAATTTTTTTTTATGTTTTTTTCTTCCGCGATGAACTTCGTCTGCTTTCTTTTTTTTCTTTTTGTTTTGTTTTGTCAGTTTCGCTCTAGCTCTTTCTCTGTTATCGGTGTCAGTGTAATGGTAGTAGGGGGAAACAGTCGAACGCACGATCACGTGATTACGACATTTTCTCGCATCTTACAGGTTACCATTTTTTTTTTTTCGCGCGCGCGAGAGCTTCGCTAATACTCATTCTCTATTACGGAAAGTGGTTAATTATTAATAGTGCCATATTTTCAAATTCTTGTCCCGTTATTGCCGAAATGCACATATTAAGCTAGCGATTTTCCTGAAAGGTTGTGAATTCACAGTGAGCCCGCGGAAGAAAAATGAGTAATAATAGGCAGGGTACAAACTCACCGAGGTAGAGTCGTTTTAACTTCTTCTCGCGTCTTTTCCAACAATCTTTTTCACTACACAAGAGCACTCTACAACCATTTTAGTTATCTTTTGAAGAAGATCAGATTTCCAGGTTCTTTTGCCAAATGAAATCCCAAGCAAATTGCTTTTGAAAGAAAAAGAGTGATTTCTGTGAGCCATCTCGCACATACATCAGAGGACGTTTGGCAGCAATTGTTTCCACAGCTTCGCTGCCATTTCTTTCTCCAGGTTCCTCATCGTCCGCTTAGTATGTATAGTCTTTTATTTTTTTTTCAAATGATTTTGCTATAAAAATATTGCGAAAAAAATCGTTAAATTTTTACTTTTGAACCACTCGGCTTTGGTAAACATTCGTGTGCGATCTGCGTTGCCAGCCCTCTGCCCCTCAAGGGGCACCTCTTCAGCTCAAAAATGGTATACAAAAGGTGGGTTGGACGATCAGGCTGGAGTCTCCCAGTATAACACTTTGTTGTATACCCCACCCCCTCCGATAGGGCGGAAAGGTAAGTTCGCTAATTAGACATATTGGTGTTGTTGTTGTTGTTTTGTTTTTGCAATTCTCGTTGCCGTTGCAGGTTAGCATCACACCATTTTCTTTTTTGCTGGAGTACAACTTCAAGCATATCAACAAGAGCTGCTCTTTTAGCCCTGTCTAAATCTATAAATTAGCGAGTTTGAAAGAAATCGAAAGCGCTAAACGAGGTAAACCACCATGCCACTTCACAGTCCTTAAATTCTTTACTAAGTCCTTAAATTTTCCGTAAATTCGTCGGGATCAAGCACATTCTCTAACAGGTGGCTATCTTGGTTTCAGATGTACCGGGTTTAGCCTGGGGACGATAATGATACAGATACAGTATTTGTTCTAGAATAATAGCAAGGGGGGTATTTGCTTGCAGGCCACTAGACTATTGTTAATCCCGGGGGGTACTTCCTTATAAGAGGCTACTAGGGATGTGCCGCTTGATGGGGTCGTATTTTCACGACTGGATTAACTATAATGGGGTCGCATTTTCAATAGAGTTACTAGAATGGGGTGGCACATTTTCGGATTTTTTGAGGTAAGACAGTTCTTCATATTTACGGTTAGTAAACGTACCAGAATGTTTGAACTGTAGATGAAAGGTGAAGTGTGCTTTATTCTAAAAAATGGGTCAATTCATAAAAATAGAGAGTGCCTAATTTGGGATCGCGAAAAATTACATATTTGCCCAAAAGTGGCTAAGATGGGGTCTATAATTGATTGGCCACAGAATAGACTATAATGGGGTAGGGGCTCTGAGAGGGCAGCGGCACGTACATACATACATACATACCCAGCAAACTCCCCCCCCCGGGTTGTTTACGCACTATAGGTTCTTATGCATGCATGATTCTTGATTTTGTAGCTTGTCAACGAAAACAGCAATAAATATAATAGACTACTCTATTGATAAGATAATTTCCTGCCTTTCAATTTTAGTCAGACTAGCAAAAAGTGTTTTCGCGGCGTAACGATTCCAGATATAGGAATGCGTGACAGGCGCCATCATGTGATATCAGTTTTGTGTACACAGCGAAGACGAGTCGATCGGATCAAGCGCTGTAAACAGGTACACCTGTAGTATTAATGCGTTCGGCTTAAAGGCTTTCCTTTCCTGCATGATGTTCTATTGTGTCAAAAGTCACAAAAAGTTTAAAATACTTGATACATTTGATGAATTCTTGTGTTATTCGGGTTTTGCATTAAGACCTTGCATCGTGTATTGTAAACAGTCATAACAGAAAATAGGCATATTTCGTCGATCGACTGTGGTGATAAATCGTTAAAATCACAACATATTTTTATGTTTCTATGTTTTTGGACATTCCCTTTGTTGGTCTGAAAAGACATTTTGTTTAGAAGATGTGGGGATTTTGCACAGTGCTAGGATGAAAATATGCATTTTTGAGTCATTTCCTGCGTACAGCAAAGTGGGTGTAAATCAAAAAATATTTAGTAGACACGAGTTGTTTTTGAAGGGCCAAAATTGTGTCCATTACATCATTTAAGGACCAATTTAGTCCTAGGAAGTGAAAAAAATCGTTGAAAGTGCAAAACTTTGAAGTGGTGAACTCGGCAATATGCGCTATTTTTACTCTTTGTCACCGCAAATATTTGGCCGCCGAGTGCTGAAGTGATTTTCCTCCCGAAAAATTTTATTTTGAAATATTTTCAAACACTAATGCGGTTTCAATTACTTTTGGACTAAGATATATTCATGGGCAAAGTTTAAAGGAAATTGATTTTCCGACCCGAAACGCAGTGGACCGGTTTTAGGGAGACTCACTCTTAAGAGGCAGTCTCCCTAAAAGCGTTCCACTCGATTTTGGACTCGAAAAAACTTTTGCCTCATAATTTTACCATCAACACTACTATCCATCCTGATAACGAAATTGCAGTTAGAATGAGGAAATTGTTTATTTTACTGCCATTCCCAGCATTTCATTGCTGGACGACCGTTAGCGGCTAAAATATGCAAATTTTAGTCTCTGCTATACAGGTTTTTTAACGATCGTTCTAAAGTTCTTCGGGTCATCAAATCCTAGACTATTGCACTCATTTGGAAGCATATTACTTCTTCTTACTGTTCCAATACCGTTTAGGCGTTATCTTTCTGTAATCAGCAAAAACTGGTCGTCTTTATTTCGCTAATCCAATTAAGAAAGCAAACTGCACGAGAAAATGCCTCAAAAACATCTCAAAATTCTCAAAAGTGGCACCTAAACTAGACCTAAAAACATGGTTTAGTTAAAGATTAATAGCTATTTTGTCAAGTTATGCAATAAAACTTGTGGCACAACGCGATTCAGAATTGAAGGTTTCAACTCAAATTTAGGCAAATGTTCAATTTGCGTTGCGTGACGATACCGGCTGCTGTCACAACAAAATCCTCAGTTATTGAAATACTTGCCACTTTTAAGTAAGATATGCCTCACTTTCCCACCAAAACTATATTAAAATTCCGTTTTCCCTTTGCCAATGATACATATTGTTCAAAAATTAGTTCAGCAAGTAAAAGATACCTTTCAAGCTTCATTTAATATTCCCACTGCCCCGAACATTCGTGTAAGTCTGTTGTGTCAAGACGGAAAAATACCTTTTCAGAACCAAACCTCTTCTAGCTTAAAATGTGGTCCAGTCTGAAAAAGCTGCATTGACCAGAAGTTACTCCGATCCATCATATTATAAAATCGAACGTTAGAAGAAAAGTAAATTTCCCACTGCTTGATTAAATATGCGTGAACAGGTCAGAAAATGTTTGACTTGTACTTCGCCCCACGTAAGGGTATCCGGATTCCGGAAACTGGAAAATTTTTGCTTGTAGGATCCGGAATCCGGGAAAATTTTGATATGAAATCCGGAATCCAGGGCTTTGGAATCCAGAATAGAGCTCAAGCACCCTACTAAGGAATGAAATTCCACCGGAAAAGACTGAATCCAGCACCCGGAATCCTGAATCCATGGAATGGGATCCAGAATCCACGACTGTCTTGTATTCGCTAACAAGGGGTGATAGTACTGGACTGTGAACGACGACTTACAATTTTCCCTTTATTTACCTTCCACTGATCAGGAGCCCATATTTGAAGACTTTGTTAATGAAATTTCAATTAGTAGGTTTCTTCCATTTCCTGACTGTTTCTTCCTATTAACAGTGGTCAGCGTTTGTTTTCACGCTCCAAGAGACAGTCTGGAGTCTAAGGCTACTTTTGTATCGCAGCCAGTTAATAAAGAAGTTGGCACACGCAAATAATAAAGTTTCAACATTAATTTCGAATCGTGCAACATCAGTGAAAATAACAAGAAAATAAAGTGTGGAAGTTCACGCGTTTTTCCCAACTGATAAAAGTACACGATTGTCAGGACACCATTACTTCTTACCATGAAACCTGTCATCCATCGAAGTCTGAACTAAGTGAAGCCGACCCAATACTCTCAAAAGATGGTAATCATTGACCTTACGAAAAATCAAGTGAAACAGATGGTGATCTGCTTCCCCAGGAGGACTCCCATGCAAAAGTGACGTGGGTGCTCGTCGTTTGCAGATTTTGGTCTCACTTCGGTTGTTTGGGACGGAAAGTACCTAAATATGCTCATCCAGGTATCGCTTAAGGCTGTGCATAAAGAAATTTGCCAAAAAAAAAAAACGCGGTGACGCTGACCTCACAGAAATCTCCTTTAGGGGTCAGTTTAAGCTTGAGCCACACCCACATTGGCCTCCCTTAGGGGTTTAAATAATAAGTTATTAATTTTCCGACGAGAAGCCCTTCACTTTTATATGAAAGTCCTCCCGGGGATTACCGACAAATATCGGCATATAAACTCGGACGATTTTGGCGGACACCTCGTATAGAGGACCAAGAAAGGAATATTAGGACCAAGGACGGGCATGTAATTGGTGTGGAGATTGCTAAGATCGTATACCATCTATTTTAAAGGATGGGATCACGTACGTATAAAATCATAAAATCATTGCTAATATCCTTATCACTAGTTCCTTTATCTGTGATAAGATAACGACAAAAGGGCCAATGGGTATTGTCATAATCGTAACTTCAAGTTCAGACAATGATAAACTCAGTAGTGAGTGATGAAGTTATGGAGAAAAGTAGGAAGTGGCTTTAAGTCAAATATCCTGATATTAATCAGTGTTGCAGTATGGCATAAAGTTACACAGTCAGCTGATGCACTTATCACAAGATACACGCGTGAAACGGAAAGTGATAAGCGCATATCTAAACCTAATTTGGAGTCGGAGTTAAATTGCCAAAATCGTGATTACCTACCTTTAGGCATATTACTGAGAGTACTCATGACAATTGTTTAGTACCATGGAGAATTCACTGACAGAATTTTCTATTGAAGCCCAACGTGGACAAAAACCTCTGAATTCGAACAATCAGTAGAGGTGAGAACTGACGTGAAGTCTGAATCCGGCATTGTCGAAGGTTTCCCGAGCATGAACATTTCTCCAGGTCGAGACCCCTACACTGTTTTTACGTCTTTTCTCGTCTCACGTCTTGTTAGCGGTTATTACCCTGTTCTTACAGACGCTTGCATTCTACCACGTTAATGATGTAAAAATACATACATCTGAACAACAGCTGAAGGATCTAGCATCACATTTTTAAAAATCGGCCTTTGGACCCTCCGTGTGGATCCAAATTCATATTGATATCGATTTTACTAAATTAAGCGCCACCGCGTTTATCATTTCGTTTTTGCGACTACAGTGCGGCGCTCATTTGATGCACCAGCCTACCGCGGACAGTTTTGTTGAGCCACTCAGAGAGGATCTTATTGCTTTTATATGTCTGCATACCGAGATGCTATGACAAAGAATATAAAGACCGCAAATACTTCACAAATCTTATGAAAAAAATACAAAAACAAAAAACGAGCGAGATTGCATGCGAGTAAACAAAGATCTGGTACAAATTTCCCTAAAACAGTCAAATATAACAATATAACAAGCTTAACAACTTGACAGGCTAACGGTTTTATTCGGTGGTGGTATAAAAAAGGTTACAACCGAACACTGTCTGGCTACCCCTGGCTACTCAGTCACTTCACTCGCTGTCCATCACGAAATTGATAGAGTACAGCATTACCAGCATAGCACTAGCACTGTATATAGACAATCAGATTTGTGATCGAAGGCCGGTAGATTTATACATCTTAGAATTTATACTAATATCAAATTCCTAAAGGTGTCCGGACACTAACTTAATTCAATGTACATTTCACAGCTGATTTCATTTTTTTTTAAGGGCAAATAACAATTTACTTGATAAGAATTTATAAGTACGAGACTTATTGTGACGTAGACGTGATTATTACTTCTTTGAACTCCAGTCTATATTTTCTTAATTTTTCTTCAAGGACTACCGTGTACCATCGTCCCATATATATAGTGTAAAGGTGAATGTGTGAAGGACCTTCTCGCTGCAAAATGTAAATACTTCCACCTGTCACTAGACAGGAGAAACATTGTTCTCGTTAATGTTATCTGTAAAAGAAAAATGTTCGGTAGAACGCGATTGGAGTATGTCGAATAGCCTCTTCTAGGCGTTCAGACTGTGGAGGCGACCCTCCGAGGGATGCCAGTAAGAAAAGGGCGAGGGGGTGGGGTAGAGAGAAATGCGTATTTTTCCTGACCCACTCTACTAATAAGAAGGCCAACTACTGGGAGTCGAACAAAGGACGGCCGGCCGAGACTATTGATACGAAGGTCAGTGGAAAAGTAAACTTAAACTTCTATAAGCTTAACCTATTTACGATTTTTCTTGTTGATAAAGTAAAAAAAAAGAAACAAAAAAACAAGAAAAAAATAAAACAGAAAAATTGTCTTTTGTAGGATCACGAAGAATTTTTTTACTGTCACTGCGGCCCGTGTCACGCCACGCGAATTCGGCATCAATATGCAAATTTAGGTCGAATCCTTCAATTCTGAATCGCGTTGTGCCACAAGTTTTATTGCATAACTTGACAAAATAGCTATTAATCTTTAACTAAAACATGTTTTTAGTTCTAGTTTAGGTGCCACTTTTGAGAATTTTGAGATGTTTTTGAGGCATTTATTCGTGCATCTTGCTTTCTTAATTGGGTTAGTGAAATAAAGACGACCAGTTTTTGCTGATTACAGAAAGATAATGCCTAAATGGTATTGGAACAGTAAGAAGAAGTAATATACTTCCAAATGAGTGCAATAGTCTAGGATTTGATGACCCGAAGTACTTTTAAACGATCGTTAAAAAACCTGTAAAACGGCATCTAAAATTTGCATATTTTAGCCGCTAACGGTCGTCCAGCAATGAAATGCTGGGAATGGCAGTAAAATAAACAATTTCCTCATTCTAACTGCAGTTTCGTTATTAGGATGGATAGTAGTGTTGATGATAAAAATATGAGGCAAAAGTTTTTGCGAGTCCAAAATCGAGTGGAACGCTTTTAGGGAGACTGCCTCTTAACTCCGACTCCAAATTAGGTTTAGATATGCGCTTATCACTTTCCGTTTCACGCGTGTATCTTGTGATAAGTGCATCAGCTGACTGTGTAACTTTATGCCATACTGCAACACTGATTAATATCAGGATATTTGACTTAAAGCCACTTCCTACTTTTCTCCATAACTTCATCACTCACTACTGAGTTTATCATTGTCTGAACTTGAAGTTACGATTATGACAATACCCATTGGCCCTTTTGTCGTTATCTTATCACAGATAAAGGAACTAGTGATAAGGATATTAGCAATGATTTTATGATTTTATACGTACGTGATCCCATCCTTTAAAATAGATGGTATACGATCTTAGCAATCTCCACACCAATTACATGCCCGTCCTTGGTCCTAATATTCCTTTCTTGGTCCTCTATACGAGGTGTCCGCCAAAATCGTCCGAGTTTATATGCCGATATTTGTCGTAATCCCCGGGAGGACTTTCATATAAAAGTGAAGGGCTTCTCGTCGGAAAATTAATAACTTATTATTTAAACCCCTAAGGGAGGCCAATGTGGGTGTGGCTCAAGCTTAAACTGACCCCTAAAGGAGATTTCTGTGAGGTCAGCGTCACCGCGTTTTTTTTTTTTTTTCAAATTTCTTTATGCACAGCCTTAAGCGATACCTGGAGGAGCATATTTAGGTACTTTCCGTCCCAAACAACCGAAGTGAGACCAAAATCTGCAAACGACGAGCACCCACGTCACTTTTGCATGGGAGTCCTCCTGGGGAAGCAGATCACCATCTGTTTCACTTGATTTTTCGTAAGGTCAATGATTACCATCTTTTGAGAGTATTGGGTCGGCTTCACTTAGTTCAGACTTCGATGGATGACAGGTTTCATGGTAAGAAGTAATGGTGTCCTGACAATCGTGTACTTTTATCAGTTGGGAAAAACGCGTGAACTTCCACACTTTATTTTCTTGTTATTTTCACTGATGTTGCACGATTCGAAATTAATGTTGAAACTTTATTATTTGCGTGTGCCAACTTCTTTATTAACTGGCTGCGATACAAAAGTAGCCTTAGACTCCAGACTGTCTCTTGGAGCGTGAAAACAAACGCTGACCACTGTTAATAGGAAGAAACAGTCAGGAAATGGAAGAAACCTACTAATTGAAATTTCATTAACAAAGTCTTCAAATATGGGCTCCTGATCAGTGGAAGGTAAATAAAGGGAAAATTGTAAGTCGTCGTTCACAGTCCAGTACTATCACCCCTTGTTAGCGAATACAAGACAGTCGTGGATTCTGGATCCCATTCCATGGATTCAGGATTCCGGGTGCTGGATTCCAGTCTTTTCCGGTGGAATTTCATTCCTTAGTAGGGTGCTTGAGCTCTATTCTGGATTCCAAAGCCCTGGATTCCGGATTTCATATCAAAATTTTCCCGGATTCCGGATCCTACAAGCAAAAATTTTCCAGTTTCCGGAATCCGGATACCCTTACGTGGGGCGAAGTACAAGTCAAACATTTTCTGACCTGTTCACGCATATTTAATCAAGCAGTGGGAAATTTACTTTTCTTCTAACGTTCGATTTTATAATATGATGGATCGGAGTAACTTCTGGTCAATGCAGCTTTTTCAGACTGGACCACATTTTAAGCTAGAAGAGGTTTGGTTCTGAAAAGGTATTTTTCCGTCTTGACACAACAGACTTAACACGAATGTTCGGGGCAGTGGGAATATTAAATGAAGCTTGGAAAGGTATCTTTTACTTGCTGAACTAATTTTTGAACAATATGTATCATTGGCAAAGGGAAAAACGGAATTTTAATATAGTTTTGGTGGGAAAGTGAGGCATATCTTACTTAAAAGTGGCAAGTATTTCAATAACTGAGGATTTTGTTGTGACAGCAGCCGGTATCGTCACGCAACGCAAATTGAACATTTGCCTAAATTTGAGTTGAAACCTTCAATTCTGAATCGCGTTGTGCCACAAGTTTTATTGCATAACTTGACAAAATAGCTATTAATCTTTAACTAAACCATGTTTTTAGGTCTAGTTTAGGTGCCACTTTTGAGAATTTTGAGATGTTTTTGAGGCATTTTCTCGTGCAGTTTGCTTTCTTAATTGGATTAGCGAAATAAAGACGACCAGTTTTTGCTGATTACAGAAAGATAACGCCTAAACGGTATTGGAACAGTAAGAAGAAGTAATATGCTTCCAAATGAGTGCAATAGTCTAGGATTTGATGACCCGAAGAACTTTAGAACGATCGTTAAAAAACCTGTATAGCAGAGACTAAAATTTGCATATTTTAGCCGCTAACGGTCGTCCAGCAATGAAATGCTGGGAATGGCAGTAAAATAAACAATTTCCTCATTCTAACTGCAATTTCGTTATCAGGATGGATAGTAGTGTTGATGGTAAAATTATGAGGCAAAAGTTTTTTCGAGTCCAAAATCGAGTGGAACGCTTTTAGGGAGACTGCCTCTTAAGTACCCGTATTTGGTGGCAAACTGGAGCAAAAAGGCGGATAGAGAAGCCAAGAGCATGGATGCTTGGTGAATAAAAACCGGATTTACTTTCTTGTTGTTGCACAACTTTCCTGTTATGATCCTTCCGAGGGATGAAGCAAGGCCAATAAAGATAAACAGGCGCGACGCAGCCTGGGCGGTTATTCCGTTATCTTCGGAATACTTAACCTATGAACATAATCAGCACTTTTAGTCTATATAATGAAGATGATTTGGACTGCAAGAATACAAATCTAAATGAATGAATGACCATTTCAGGGGTAATCGCAGTTTAACTGCCATGTATGGACTAGACAGGTATGTGCCATCCGATAGGGGATGGTTTTTGAGGCTTCGATCCTTAAATAGGGTAACATTTTTGCCTTTTTGGCATCGTGTTTTTAGTGTTATCCTTAGACTGGGTACCCAAATTGTATCAGCTAAAATATATACACAATATATGGTAGTAACCACCCCGGGCTTCCAATGAAGTGACTGAAAATTAATAACGCAAGGTAATTGGCTCCTAAAAATGGCTAAGTTTAAATGTTAATCATAACTATAACAAAACTCTCAAATCTGATTGACTATCAACTGTCCTGATTTCAGCACTAGTATGACAGTGCGGTACGCGTCATGTCTGTAATTGGACAGTACGCGCCATCGCACGCGCGCACTTAAATGGCTTTTTTTCACTGCTAGCAAAAGTTTTAAAAAAGCTTAAAATATCGCCAATTTGTTATAGTTATGATTAATTGGTAACAGAACTTCGAGTCGTCTAATTCAGTCTGTAGTCTTAAACAAATCAGACTCCCGCTATGTTGTTAATTACTCGTATGATTACAGACCGAATTGGACTCATCACAGTAGTGGTAGTGGTAGTGGTAGTGGTAGTGGTAGTGGTAGTGGTAGTGGTAGTGGTAGTGGTAGTGGTAGTGGTAGTGGTAGTGGTAGTGGTAGTGGTAGTGGTAGTGGTAGTAGTAGTAGTAGTAGTAGTAGTAGTAGTAGGAGTAGGCATTCGACGGGCTATATGAGAGTGGGAGTGACTGGACTTTTGTAGGGGACGAGAAAAAGGTGGTCGCCTTAATGAGGTTGTCGCAACAACGAGGTGGCCGTAAAATAGAGTTCAAATATAGGAAAAACAGGCAGAAAACTAACCAGATAGATGTATGGAATATACAACCCAAGACTCCCAAACATGAAAGACATAACGGATGCAGTAAAAGTAGGAAACGCCCACACGCTGCAGTAGAGCGAAATGCCACTTCGTTTATCGCTGGCACGATCCTCACTGCTGCTAAGAAGTTTGGTATGTGTTATTTTTTGTACGTTGGGGTTGTATGTTAAACTCAGAATGCAGACAAGAGTGAAACATGCAGCCACCACTCTGTACGTGCCTCTCCATCCAAATAAGTCCAAAAGAACTTGAAGCAATGGACCTGTGAATAGCACACCCACACTTGCCCCCAACGCTACAATGCCCGTTGCCATGGACAAGTTTTCTTTAAAGTACTGTGCAATCACTAGATAACTGCAGTTATAGATAAAACATACTCCAAAACCAAATACCAGGCTGTGGGTGAAATACATCAGATTAAGACTGTGAGAAAATGACGTCAGCACCAAGCCCGTCACGCACAGGGTGCCTCCAATGAAGTTTGTGACGCGACAGCCAACGCGATCACAGAGATAGCCAGGCAGCGGACTGGCAAGCCATGTCATGCCCAATGCTAGTGAGCCAACAAAAGCTGAAAAAAAAATTCATGTTGTTATATCAAGAGATCATAGTTTTACAAAGACGCTTACGTCCGCAGGAGCTTGCTGATTCTCAAAAATAAATAAATAAATAAATAAATAAATAAATAAAACGGCCATAAATCGGCCCGTGGACCACACAGGAGAGACGTAACACTCATTTTAAGTAAGTTAAGCTGTTTTTTTATTGAAATTCTTTCATTTTCGTAGGTTACAGAAACGATGGGTTTTTTTCCCATACAAATCCTTATATTTCGAATGTTACGCAACAATGCCGATGTTCGCCGATGCTCATATTTCGAGCTTGGGCTACCTGTGGAGTTATTTCCGAAATGAGAACGAAAAATTAATCCGGTCAGTTACGCAACTAGAGAGTCCTTGTTACGTAACAGAGAGTGAATTGAATGTTAGGCCTAAACTATACAGATTTACCGCCGACACGAATTCCATATCGAATAGAACTTCTGTTTACACATAAGTTAGAGCGATGATTTCTGAGCGGTCCTCGTAACGGAGCGAAACTGTGTCGGCCCATTCTGGCCCCCGAGGGGGGAGGTACTTTAGGAATTTCTGAGTGAGGGTGTGTCGCTGGGACCCTGAGACCCCTTAACCTATACCAGGTCTAGTTCAGCTGAATTTTGCTACCCTATATTAGAGTAAACTCCCCCAATCCCCCCAATCCTAGAGTAGCTGTTTTCCAGAAACTACTGATGTCACTTTCACAGTCTAGCCAAAACAAAACCTTATACCACAATCCCAAATCTTCATAAAAACTTCAACCAAGTGATCAGTTTCCTGAAAAATGATACCCTACTCTAGACCCAAACGCTCTGATTTATGTACCCTATCCTAGAGTAAACTGCTTGAAAACCATACGCTTCACAGCAGCACATACCTATATAGCTCATATATGGCAGTACCCCCTCCCCCCGGGATTCTAGCCCATCAGATAGGTTTCTGTACCACTCTTCGTTGCACTGTGGCTAAGCTTGAATATTTTTTAAGTCAACATGATAAGCCATCCGGAAATGTAGTATAGTCACAGCCTTAGTCAGTTTGCCTCGATAAATTTTCTTCTTATATTTTGAATGTTACGCAATAATGCCGATGCTCGCCAATGCTCATATTTCGAGCTTGGGCTACCTGTGCTAAAGGGAGCTAATTTAATTACACACAGTCTTATTGGATTAAGGTTAAATTCCTTGGCAAGCAAATGACTCGTAAATCGTGAGTAAGAAGAACATAAATACTACATCTGCTCAGCACTATCGCAAGAAGCAAAAAACAAATCTGGGGGAACCGCCACAAGAACTGAGCCGAACCAGCTCTTATCGCATAGTGTTCCAGATATCATATCTGGCAAAAAGTTAAATGATTGTCTCTACTCACCAGTTCTTTCCTTTGTTTCGTTGAAATAGTCCAGCAATACAGGGAACAGAACACCGAAGCTAAGAACAAAGCCAAGGTTCAGTGAATTGCAAATTGCTGCTGAAAAACACACAACCCATGACCACATACTGTCTTGTTTACGATTGCTTCTCAAACACCACCATAGTTTCTCAAGTCTCTCGTGACAATCAGGATCTCGTTCTTCATATACTGGCATTTTGCAGTTGATCTGAAATCTCTTGCCAGAAGAATTTGACGGAGGCGAGACAGAGGGTATTTTTTGGGTACCTGTATGGTGCAAGAAATCTCTCTTAAGGGACACTTGTTGCTCTGACTTTCTGTTGCAACTGAAAGTAAAAGGGTCAGGGCATACATAATAATTAATAAATTTACCATGCGTTTTGAATAGCTGGCCATTAGGGACGGAAGTGATGAGCGACATGTCCAAAGATCACTTCCCGAAAATGATCAACAACTGTTTTCTATCCGTAATCACCTGAAGTAGTTGTCTGAAAGTGTATTTAACTGGTTCCCACCATTGTGTGGATGATTTGAATGCTGTTTTCATATATCTAGCCTATTCCTCAACCCTACTTAAGTACATAGCTACAATTCGAGATTTTCTGGGCTGCCGGATAATATTTATCTGAACAGTCTATGATAAATAATTTGAAAGGTTCATTTTCTAGAATCCGGCCTTAAGACTGGGGAGCTAGTGGCATTCTTTAACAATTTTTTCGAGTCCTACTCGAACAGAAATTCCACTCTCTGGTTTCAGGCTTCAGTCGCACGTGCGTCGTTAGGCTTTTTTTAGTTATTAGGAAAAACAAGTGGCCCATCTTGGCCGTGTCGATGCAGAAATTGAAAGTGTCGGCATGGTGAAGAGGAATTTGACCCAATTTCGTCTTGTTAAGGAACGCAGACCAGACCTCTTTTAAGCCTTATCCCGAAGGGGGGAACTCCCGTATGGAAGAGGCCGGGATGCTCGTCATCTCTCTCAAGGGTGTAAATTTCAGATTTTGGTCTCGCTTAGGGTGTTCTGGGCAAAACACCATTATATTTAGCCCGTAAAAGTTAGGGTTGCACTCGAAGAAATATAAACAATCATATATTTTCAATTTGTTTTATGACCTTTTATTAACTGGATTCATGTCATCAAAGTTTAAAATGATCGCTTTTAGGGGTGAAAAAAGGTTGGGCCACGCCCAGATTGGTCTCCTGTAGGGGTATTATTCAAAATTTCCGACGAGCATCCCCGCCTCTTTATATGGGAGTCGGGAGTCTCCCACCCCCCCCTCCCCTCTCCCGGGAGCCTTATACAGTAGTGTGGAAGAAGATGGTCTCAATGGGGTGGTTGGTTTTACGGTTGCCTTCGGTTTGCGTTTGCTTTCAGTTTTCCTTTTTTTTCCACCTAGGGAGGAAGATTTATGTACATAAAGTCAGAGGTCTTTAATTAAAAGACATCTGCATTTTGGGACTGAAGAGTACATGTTGACTCTAAGTTGCGATGTTGGTGTTTAAAATTTAGTTTACTTTCAGTTTCCCCTGTGAATATCATAGCGAAAAAATGATCATTATTTTTTCAGCAGTTATAACGTCTTCATTTATTTGCTTATTAATTTATTGATTTTCTGATAAGTACAATTAAGTGCTCGAGGTCGGAAAAAAGAAAACAAAGTCCCATACGAGGTCGACACACTTTGAACCCACCCAAAACAAAGCATGAATATCAACAGCATTTTATGCAACATAAACTCACAAAAATGAATGGTCATCAAGAACAACTTCGTTCCCAGGATTCTCTCCTACCCGCCCTACGGAGCGAGAGAAAGAGAGACGTCTCTCTCTCTCTCTCTCTCTCGCTCCGTAGGGCGTGTAGGAGAGAACCCTGGGAACGAGGTTGCATCAAGAAATTAGAAATAGTATAAGTAAAAAACAGACAGAGGCAGACTGTAAAGACCACAGGCAGACCACCTTCTGTTATTGGGGCAGTTATTGAATGAAATCTGAGCATCGATCTTTTGTTATTTACAAAAGAAATACAGATGAACAGTACGGCCGCTATAATGTTGTCCAAAATGCAGATTTTAACGCAAATGGTTCAATAAGAGTTTGAAGAAAATGTTAACTGAGTCTGTGTCATGTTTAGTTTTTTGTTTTTTTTGTTTTGTTTTTTTTGCTGCCCCGTGCTGTTTTATGGGTCATTTTGTGAGATGAATATTTGACCTCGGCGCTAAAGAAGGAGACAAGGCAGGCAGCAATCAGCCGCCGGCGCATGACCTAGTTCACTTTAAGGTGGAACTGACGCCAAACTATTTAATTTCTTTCCTCGAAAATACCGGTTCCCAATCCACTAGTAAGATATGTCTCCACGCCTGCGCCGAGTGAGAGCTCAATTCTTTTAAAATTTCTCAAGAAAAGCGATCCTGAAGTTGCAAGACCAGCTTTCTCTACATGATCGGTGCAAAATTCTCGACCAAAGGCATTTTAGGTATGTGCGTCGATCCAAATACAAAAAATCCATCAATCAGCGTATCGCGACCGTAGTAAAAACCTGTGCGGGGCAGGGTTGGGGTTTTGAGCTGACAACGGTCGCGATACGCTGATTGGTGGATCGAGAGATATCGAAGGATTATTGTTGTCAAAGGAACAGACAAAAAAAAAGGTTTGGCATAAGGCACAATATTTCGTGATAGGAACATATGCCGGTATATTTGTGGAAAAAACAATCGTGAGAATTACAAAAATGTAAAAAAATATTATTTAATAGGTGCACGGAAACTCCATCTTCCTGCTCGACTAGTTCATTATTTTGAGCTCGTAACTAATCGACCGCTTTAGTACCATTTAGGCACTGACACAGAACATCTTAAAGAACCTTTTTCAGAGATTTCTCCCTCACTGTAGTGATAGGTTTGTCCCTGAGTCTCGATCCGTTTCGATCTTTCTGTAAACAATTGTTTATCGTCATTGATGTGGTTCTGAGGAAGACCTTTGATACTTCTATGATTGATAGGAATCAAAATCATTGGAATAAGAAATGCCACCAGAAGAACACCACCAGTCATGTAGAATGAGTAAACATAACTTCCTGTGTGGTCCACTATTAAACCTGTTCAAAAGAAATGGCAATGAGAGTCCGCTTTTACAACAAAATAAGTCAAATTCTCTGAGGCCGTATTTTAATAGAGACTTACTTCATTCGACAGGGCTGTAAATGGAAGCACCTATTTTCAAAATATTGTGATATATATTTTGACTTACGCAAATATTTCGAGAACAGAACATGATCGTCTAGGGGTTTCTATTTCCCTGACGAGCGTCCCATAGGGGATCACCCTCCTTTTAATTAGGCTGTGTTCAACCCGTGTGGAATGTTGCGCACCAGCACTACAATACATTAATCGTAGCAGAAAACTATTTAGGGCCTGTTTACATGGAGGTGGGGGACCCCAGGTAGGTGAGGTAACCCGCTTAGGTGAGGTAAAAAAATAACCCTCCTTTACATGCAATCTTACAACCCCGCCTTCCCGGGGTGCACTTTCTCAAGATTATTGAATGGTCGCTAAGCACGTAAACAAGAAAAATGCTGGCAAACCACGAGTTTTGGCGATTAATGCACTTCTTCACTCACTTGTTGCTCTTGCTGCAACCCGTAAGTGCAATAGCTTTCTATTGTTAACTTTAATCATAATGCAAAGACACCGCGAAAGTGGATTTTGCGCGAATTTGATGTATCACGAATCCGACCCCGGCCAGGCGGGTTACCCCACCTTGAAACGTTTACATGACAAATTGTGACCCCGGCTGAGAGGGTAACCCGGTCTGGTAGACCGGGTTACCCGCCTTGGCGGGTCACCCCACCTATCATGTAAACGTGATCAAATGAAAATGAGAGATTATATGGACAGGCGGGTTACCCCACCTAAGCGGGTTACCTCACCTACCTGGGGTCCCCCACCTCCCTGTAAACAGGCCCTTAGATCGTTACAGTTAGTAATAGACCTTTTCGTATGCTTCACTTCCTTTTTCAAACCATGTAATGTTGCCCCCAGATTCCCAGTTTGTTTTAAATTTCATCTCGTCCACGAGTATTATGATGCAGGATTTATGAAAAGATAAATGGCAAATTCCCTTGAGAACACAATGATCGCATGACCTTAATTGCGAAAACAAAACATACAAGCCAAACTGACTCATTATAGATATTAACTCACCAGCAATTGGGCTACCAGCAGCTGCAGCTATTGAATAAAGTACGTTGCTAGTACAGAAGGACGCTGTTACTCTTTTAGCATCCACACAGGTCAGCTGAGTATACACAGCCGATGTCATGAAAATTCCATCGCTGAAGCCATAGATAAAGCTGAAGACGATTAACAACCAGTATTTTGTGGTAGCAAACTGAAGCAAAAGTGTGGAAAGAGCAGCTAATAGCATGGATGCCTGATAAATAAATATGGAATTTACTTTTTTGATGTTGCACAACTTTCCTGTTATGATTCTTGCAAGAGATGAAGCAAGTCCAATGAAAATAAATAAGCGAGAAGCAGCTTGGGCGCTTATTCCATTATCCTCTGAAAACTTCACCTACAAAAATAATCAAACCAGTCCGTATAGTCAGTTTGGATATCATTGGTCGTTCACTGTGAAATACTTTACAGAACTTGCGCGCGTATTAAGCAGGAGTTGATGACGTACCTGATAAATCGAATATCAGTGTGCCTAGCGCTCTGTATTTGTCGTAAGTTTTCCGTTTGCAGTAACATTGGGTCTCGCCATTATCCCATTGAGCTCGTCAGCGTAAAAATCATTAAGGGGCGAGGCTACAATTACTCCATTGTAACACAGTATAAATTTATTCTTTCCAAGTCCAAAGGGTATGTAATAAAACTTACCAGATATATTAATGGAATGTATATGGCAAACGCTGTCACCATAAAAGAAGTGGTAACCGCCACGAACGTAGGACTTTTCCACACGCTGCAGTAAAGAGAAATGCTGCTTCTTTCATTGTCTTGGTTCTCATTTTTGTTTTCTATGTTGTGACCCGTTGTTTCTTGCAACTGTATGTTTGGGTTGTAAGTCAAGCCCAGGAGGCAGACAAGAGCAAAAGCCATGACCATGATCCTGTAAGTGCCTCTCCATCCAAATGAATCCAAAAAGAATTGAAGCAACGGACCTGTAAAAAAGACGCCAGTGCTTTCTCCCAAAGCTACAATACCAGTTGCCAAGGACAACTTCTTTTTAAAGTACTGTGCGATTACAAGGTAGCAGGAGTTGTAAATAAAACATATTCCTAAGCCAATTATCAGACCATGGGTGACGTACATGTGAGTGAGGCTCTTAGCAAATGACGATAGCACCAAGCCGATCATGCACAACGCTGCTCCCAGGAAGTTCGTGATACGACAACCAAAACGATCACAGAGATAACCAGGCAGCGGACTGGCAAACCATGCCATGCCCAAGGTTAGCGAGCCGAGGCCAGCTGAAAAGAAAGTTGACGTTATTGTTAACTTAAAGATGATTTAAAATAATCTTGTTTTAAGGTGTCTTCATATCTTCTCAGCTTAGAAGACCTTCAATTTTTCTCATATTTGATGATAAAACCACTAATCTATCTCTGCAAATTGCTCAGTGGTTTACGCGTTAAGGACTAATGCAGACGCACAAGGCGTTTATGCTTTTATCGCGATTAAATTCACTGTTGGCTTTTGCTTATGTTTGCGGTAAGCCGGCTGGAACAGTAAAATTGAGTCTAGCTAGTTATCCTGAGAAGAGTAAGCCTCAATTTTAAGGTATTAAGAAGGAGTATTTTCAGCTGGACCAAGCTCGGTCAGCTCGACTAAAATATGAACATCGGTATTGATGCGTAACCTTTAAGAAATATAAGGATTTGTGGGGAGAAAACGATTGTGTCCGTAACTAGTACGAATGTGTTAAATAAAACTGCTCTAATCTCTCGATAACCTCAGTTTAGCTGACATTTGTTTCTCCTTTGTGGTCCCCGAGCCGATTTTTAGCCATTTTATGGTTTTTAGTGGAACCCGGGTTTGTTCTCTCTATTGTATTATAGGATTAAGGTACAAAGCCTAATACTGTAATAGCAGCTATCAACCAGGCTACTGTCCTGAATAGAAAAACAAAGACTAATTTCTAGTATGTTAATTTACCCCTAGTCAATTTGAAGTCTGATAAAATATGTTCTTACACACATATAGGGTTCAACCTATTTTAGCATCATCTGATTTCTGTCTAGTTTGTCTGTTTGTTTTTTTTTTTTTTTACAGCACTGAATCTACTTAAAGTCATCAAAAGTGGCCCATAGCTTGAATGAACATGGGTGTTACGTAACGTTCAAAATATAGTACGCATTTTTAAGGAGAATAAACGATAGTTTCTGTAGCCTACGAATGTGAAAGGATATAAATAAAATCGGTTAACCTAACTTATTATAAGCTGTGTGTTTCTTCTCAGTCTCCTGTGTGGTTCCTGAGAAGATTTAAGATGAATGGCCATTTTACGGGTTTTATTCGAACCGGTTTGTTCTAGTATTAGGAATTAAAGGGAAAACAAACCAGCTTGAATAGAACCCATAACTGAAATTGGGGTGTCTAGAAAACGACGACCTAGAAAACGAAGACCTACGACCTAGAAAACGACGACCTAGAAAACGACGACCTAGAAAACAACGACCTAGAAAACGACGACCTAGAAAACGACGACCTAGAAAACGACGACCTAGAAAACAACGACCTAGAAAACGACGACCTAGAAAACGACGACCTAAAAAAAACCGCGGGGAGTGGGGGGCGCTTAATAGAAGGCTGCGAAATGCCCCATCCCCGGACAAAACCAAAATAGCATATTCATAGCAAATCTCAGTGTAATCTTATCAAACGTGGCAACACCCACGCAAATCGCTCATAGCCGCTAGTTACCCGGGGCTGGTTATAAGTAATGCTAAGGTCAAAAGGTCTAATTTGCACGTGCAGCACACTTTTTTGCACATCGTAGTACGTGCAGACGATTCTCTCGGAACCAAAATTTCTTGGATGCATTTTGGACACTTTCCATTCACCCAAAACTTAAGAAACTTTGGAAACAGCGGCAATTGGTACAGTATTTTCCCGGAAAAGTTCCCAGACTTTCCGGAAACGTTTCCGAAATGCGAACCATTCAACCAGAAATTTAGACATTCGGGAGCAAATTTGAATGCGGAAAGAAAACTTCCCGATGATAATTTTCGAAAATTTGCGTATATATTGCGAAAATGCTGTTCCATACGGTACCGCATGGAAGTTGCCGAAAATTTAAACCAGACGTTTTGATTGAATGGAATGGCGCCCATGCAAAGGTAACCAAATTTGTTACCAATTGTGCTCCCTTTAAGCTCCACTAAAAAAGTTTCTCAAGTCAAATTTTCCTTTAGTATGGTCAATGAAGTCATGATTCAACCTGACTGACTACTGGAAGCAAAAGCTTTGCTTTGACCTATTTATTATCCTGATATCAATTTAAACAAATTTCCATCAAATCTAAATGACCTAAATAATATACACTGCTTCACTGGCGCGTCGTTTATAGCGGTAAGTTCAAGCCCACATAAATCAAACAGGATATAAATCAGACGTGCCGTTTTTGTGTTCACAGCTCAATACCGTAAACAAATAGTTTATATTTTGAAAATAAAGAAAGAAGGGCTTCAACATTTTCCAGTACCTTTCCATACATGAAACGGCAGCATACCGGTAACGAGAATTGTGAAATATTATGTGGGACACAATGAAGGTTGACAGGTTGACATGTCATCAGATTTGAACTGTATTTAAACTGTAAGATTTGAATCATATCATCCTAGGAGTTTCTCTTTCCTCACAGGTCCGATAGCGTGGTATATATATAAATATGCAGTGAGATCTCCGGTAGAACTTTCGAATTGTTCAGAAATAAATTATTACATCATGTGAAATAGAGACAACGCCGCAGAGCAAAATTAAAAATTTCACTTCGGTTCATCTTTAATTCTTCCATCACTTTCACGCAATGCACAATGCAATGTCCAAGACAAAACAATAGCTCCTGCGACGACACTAGGCACTCTGTAACTGCTGTTTAAAAATGCGAGAGACGGTTTTATAAACCGCATTATGAAAATAACGCAAGAACAATAGATGTAAGTATCTCGCGGGGTACATGTAACGAAGGTTTACGTTAATGAATAAATCAATCGAGCTTTTCCGCCTAAACGTGAAAATTTCCCAAATTTTGACTTTTAGAAATACTTCGTTCCCCAAACCTCTTTTTATTAACACACTCCGGGATCGCTCATGAAACTAACCCGTTATACTTTTAATAAGTAAACACCAAGAGAGGTTATCCTCTCTTGGTGAACACTTTATTGTCCACCACCCCAGCCAGTTCTAGAGGGGGAGGGTGTTTCCTTAGGAACTGGTTAGCTCAAATGACCACCCAGCTTTAATAATTATTCGATCTAAAAGAAATACATTTATAATTCGCAATCAGAACAAACACAAATCGTCTTAATCTAGTAGCTAAATTCAGAAAACTTCAATGTTAACTTACTTCTGATCTGTGGCGGGTCGTTACAACAATCGCACTTTACAGGTTAGCAAATTCTTTTAACAGATTCTTTAGGTAAGCGGATTTATAGACAGACTGTAAATTATTTTCTTTCTCACTTCGATTCTACTGAAAAACTGGTTTGAAACACAATAAGCTAATACAATTCTTATCATCAAATAAATCTATCCAAGAACAAACAGGCAACGTTTGTTTGATAAAAGAAACAGAGGGGAGATCTCTTGTACCTTGCATTTCCATTTCCACCGTTTTATTCCTTGGCTTCATACCCTTAGCCGGTACAAATAATGCATCAATCAATTCCAACTGCGCCCAGGCCCCCCCCGGGCTGACCCCCGGGAATTAGCATATTTTTGTCTTGGATGGCAAATTCGCCAATTTAATAGAGCGCTGTAAAGTACAGTATGTTATGAATAGTTTTATAAATGTAAAAGGGTGTTCTTCAAATAATATCAACAGAAATTTGATTCAATAACCCAAAAACGTTGATTCACATCGATAGCTCCAATTTCGCTATGTAATTCTGGCTTGATAAGCAATGAAGAAATGCATACATACATGTAAAATCAAGAACATGCCTTTACAAACCTCTACCATTTATTCCTGTCCTTGACAGATGAGCCAATCTGCTTTTTTTTTCAGTAAAACCTTCTGTGTAGTTATATTCTTATAGGAAACTGCGTGCGTGTCAAAAGCTCGAGAATGGCCCAGGGGTTGGCAAATGCCCGGCCCCCGGGCAGTGCAAAATATGCAAATACCCACCCCCGGGACTGACAAGGTGGGCAAATGTCCCGCAGTAGCTCGGGGGGGAGCTGGGCGCAGGTGGAATTGACTGATGCATAATATTTACTATTTTTCTAAAATTTTCCTTCTTCGCCCCCTCTCACCCCTTCATAATTCCCTCCTATCGTCCTCTTATTTCCCGCCCTCTGTACCCCTCTAACCCCTTAATCCTTCGAGCTACCCCATCACTGTCATCGTTTTCTAGGTCGTCGCTTTCTAGGTCGTAGCTTTCTAGGTCGTTGTTTTCTAGGTCGTCGTTTTCTAGGTCGTCGTTTTCTAGGTCGTCGTTTTCTAGGTCGTTGTTTTCTAGGTCGTCGTTTTCTAGGTCGTCGTTTTCTAGGTCGTCGTTTTCTAGGTCGTCGTTTTCTAAGTCGTAGGTCTTCGTTTTCTAGACACCCCTGAAATTGCCATACGTTAGCTCGCGCGGAAGCTACCATGAAGTACACAGTAAAAAAGAAACACACAATCGTTTTTCAATTACAGTCGACTCCCGATAACTCTAACCCTCACTAACTCGAACCTCGCGCTAACTCGAACCAAAATCGATTTCCCCTGGATTTCCGTCATACATTTACTGTAATTTTTCCGTCGGTAACTCGAACCCTCGATAACTCGAACTCCTGCTAACTCGAACTAATTTCTGTTTCCCCTCAGGTCATTTTCTATATAATTTTACCCTCGATGACTCGAACCGTGTTTTGAGCTCTTAAAAATTCGGGAAAAAAGCCGTCTACTGTCGTCCGAAACATTGAATTTTGGATTTCCCATTAAAACGTGTTGTAGAAATATAGTTTACTAATGGAGGCTGATGCTGATTGTCACAGGCGAACGTGAAGCAGCTTTACTTCTCAAAAACAGTAAAACCGGCATGCTCTATTTAGGCTATGCCTTGTTACGTTACGTTCTGATTTATAATCTAGAGGTATCTTTTAATTATCACTTGACATTTCTACGATCAAATGTGATTAAAATGATCACCGTGCAGTAAAAACTGTTTTTTACCTTACTCTCGGCTATTTTCTTCGAGCTCCCGATGACTCGAACTCCCGATAACTCGAACTTTTTTCGATTTCCCTTGAAGGTTCGAGTTATCGGGAGTCAACAGTATATAAATATATTTCGAACGTTACGCAACAGTGCTGATGGTCATATTTCAGTGTAATTAGAATACGTGTAACGTAATATACTCACCAGTTGTTTCCGTTGTCTCGTCGAAATGTTTCATTAATTCAGGGAATAGAACGCCAAAACTAAGGACAAAGCCGGTGTTAAGAGCACTGCAAATTGCTGAGGAGATACACACGACCCACGACCAACGACTGTCTGAGTGATGTTTGTCTCGGAAAAACCAGCATAGTTTTCCAAGTATCTCGTTAGAGTTTTCTTAAACATCCATGTGTGTGGCGTACGATTTTTAACCTGGACAAAAATACTTGATGGGGCAACACACTCGGCATAACCAAATTCAAATCTTGTTGTAGGGTCTTCATGTATTTACATAGTAATTGATGATTGGTTAACTGACCATCATGTTTTCCGCCACAGTTTTGCATGAAGTATATCGTCGAATGTATTTCGATCCGACTGAAGGGAAAACATTCTAATATATTATAACTGGCGCTCTGATTGGCTGCCTATCGTCTATGACATCACCTGATCACTGGTGGGCAGTCTGAGCCGACTGTCTCTCAGTGTCCAAAACACATGGATTTTCAACTCTAATCGTTTTCTCAGGAGCTAACTCCAGCCCTAATAACCCTAGGACTAGGGTAAGGGTTAAGGTTAAAGTTACCCGAACCCTAGCCGTAGGAGTTGGGTTAGGGTTCGAGTTACTTCGAGGCTCGAAGATTTTTTATTTTAACCAGATTTAAATATTTTTCCCTAGAAGTGGTCGATAATACGCGGCTTTTGCACTTGTTTTCAGATTCTTTACGCTAGTAGTTTTCTGAGGAGCTAGCCCAAACCCTAACCCTAGGGCTAGGATTGGTAGGGTTACTTCGAAGATGGAAGTTTTTTTGTCCTAACCTGTTTTAAAGTGTTTATTTTTTTTTTTTTCAATGGGTTTACACCGGCCACCATGAGCTTATATGTCGTGTTTAGCCTTTATTTCAAAACTGTTGATTGGTCACTTACCACGCGAATAAAACAATGGGAAAGGAATATTGTTCTCCGCTGAGCAGTCGTTTGTGGGAAGGGACAAAATACGAGCTCCCCTAAAAACGCCTGCGTGTGAGGCTACTTTTGGGCCGCACGAAAACCATACCGGATAGGGTCTCGGCTCACACACAAGAACGGTTGTGGCGGCGCGATTTCTATGACGGAGTGAAGCACATCCAGTATAGTATCAACAGATACATGTAGCCTTATTTTGTGACTGAAATCTTTCTATGAAAGTAAACATTTTTATTATTATTAATATTATTTTTTACTCAAGACATTTATTACCCTAATTGAAAAGAACTAATTAAAAAGAAACTAATTACAAAATTCTAAACAACCGTAATAACAGAAGGAAAGAAAAAGGGAAAAGTATTACATACTTACAGTTATCTACATTTCACAATTATATGCGTTACAGCCAAAAACTAGCCGCGCAATTGCTGAAAGTGGCTTATTTTACAAATAGTTAATTAATTGACCACTCCAGAAAATACCATAACATACCATAATGCTCTTTGTTTGTCACCCCAAAATTTTGCTTAAGCATTGTCTTCAGTTTCTCTTGGGAGTTAAAATGGCCCCAAGAGAAACTGAAAACAATACTTATGCAAAATTTGGGGTGCCCAACAAAGAGCATTATGGTATGTTATGGCATTTTCCCCCTGGAGTGGTCAATACTTGATTATGAAAGTAAGCATGATCATCGCCTTAGAATGAACAACCTAAGGGGCTGGAAATAGAACTGCAGAAAAAATCCAGGCTTGTATGATTCTTTCATAACTGGTGCGTTGTGTTTTTTCACCTTTAAACGGTTCGAGTGTGACACGCTTGAACAAATCTGGACTGAAATCTGACTGTAAGTTGTGATCTTGGTGTTTAGCCATTGGCAAGTTTAAATCTCTTTACCTTCAGTTTCTGGTGTGACAAAATGGTCATTACTTTTTCAGCAATCATTTCGTTTATTTATCTATAATCTATTTATCGATTTTCTGATTGGGCACAAGCTCTCCAGGTAGAACAAATGGACGTGAAGTCAAAAACCGTAAAATTCCTAAATTAAGCCCCTCCATGTATAAGCCCCCCAAACTCGTAACGCAAAAATCCCTCCGTTAAATCGCCCTTCCCAATATAAGCCCCCTGGGGGGCCTTATACTTGGAAATTGCCTTCAAATACAAAGTAAAACAAAGAAAAATGGTAAATTTCCTACCAAGAATAAGGCTAGCCTAGTCGATTTTTAAACGCAAATTTCCCCCCGTACATAAGCCCCTCCAAAAATAAGCTCCCCAAAAAGGGCCTTTGAAAACTATAAGCCCCGGGGCTTATTTTCGAAATTTTACGGTATGAGGTCCAGACACGTTAACCCCACCCAAAATAAAGCATATTAAGAGTATTTTATGCAACAAATTAAAGGAGTCATAAAAATAAAAAAGTCATCAAGAAAAAAGAAATAATGACAATAAAAAAACAGACAAACAAACAAACAGAAAGCAGACTGTAGAACCATTTAGACCTTCCTTGAAAAAAAAAGAAACTTTTCAGTATGCAAGTAGAGTTACGTTCTTTCTGAGGTTTGAGGGATTATCGTTGGGATTGAGGTACAGACAAACCAAAAAGGCTTTGGTAAAATATTTCGTGATAGAAAAACACAAATTTATTTGAGGATCACACATATCGTGAGGATTTTAAAAAAATAATGTAGAAAATATCAATGGGGTGCATGGGGACCCCATCTTCCTACTCGACTCTTCAGCTCGTAACTAAATTTTCGCTTGGTACTTTTTAGGCACCCATAACTGATCCAAAAGAACTTCTATATAGGGATTTCTTCTTGATGAGTTTGACCGTGAGTCTTAATCCCTTCCGTTCTTTCTCTAACCATTTGTTTATCGTTATTAACGTGGCTCTGAGGAAGAACTCTGATACTTCTATGATTGATAGGAATCAAAACCATTGGAATCAGAAATGCGACCAGAAGAACACCACCAGTCATGTAGAATGAGTAAACATAACTTCCTGTGTTGTCCACTATTATACCTGTTCAAAAGAAATGGCAATCAGAGCTGTTTTTACTACAAAATAAGTAAATTAATCTAAGGGAGTATTATATTGGGAACCTTATTTTGCATTTGGCTGTAAATGGAAGCGCCTATTTTTGGAATTTTGTGATAGATATTTTAATTATGCACATATCTCGACAAGAGTACGTAAGCGAGCAAAACAAATGCTATTTGCCTTCCGGGGTATACCCTTGTAAAAGAGAAGAAGATGCTCCTCTTCTCAGCTAGAGGGGTGTAAATTGCTAGAACGGAAAGGTATTATACTCAGGAGAGTGTGGAGGGAAATATATACAAACGCCGTGTACTGTCTTTCGCGCAATAATTAAATCACTACAGCTCGTAGCTGGTTGCATGAATTGGTTGCCAGTTTTTAATACTTTTGCCTTTTTTAGCGGTCAAAAAGTCTCGTTTAGGGTTTTTGTTTGTACGGTTTTCTGACGAGCATCCGGCGTACCCCGCACCTTTTATAAGGGATCACCCTGGGACCTCGTGAAGCTCATAGTCGCCTATTGAATAGGGTCTGTTGCACAACAGTCTAACAAGATATTAATCATAGCAGGCAGCTATTTAGATCATTACATTAGACTGTTTCAAATGCTTTGTTTTCCTTTTTCAGACCGTGTGATGTTACCCCACATTCCCGTTTATTTCAAATTTCGTCCTGTCCACGCGCGTATGATCATGAATAAAGAGCTAAAGCCCTGTGCAAACGGACGCAAAATTGTTGTTGAGTTATTGTTGGGAGTTGCTGGCCAACAATGTTGCGTCCATTTTCATTGCACGAGGCTTAAAAAGATATAAGTTCAAACTCTCTTGAGAACATCAGGTCGCCTGAATTGGAAGAAAGAGAACATACAAGCCAAAAAGACTCATTACAGATATTAACTCACCAGCAATTGGGCTACCAGCAGCTGCAGCTATTGAATAAAGTACGTTGCTAGTACAGAAGGACGCTGTTACTCTTTTAGCATCCACACAGGTTAGCTGAGTATACACAGCTGATGTCATGAAAATTCCATCGCTGAAGCCATAGATAAAGCTGAAGACGATTAACAACCAGTATTTTGTGGCAGCAAACTGAAGCAAAAATACGGAAAGAGCAGCCAATAGCATGGATGCCTGATAAGTAAAGATGGAATTTACTTTCTTGTTGTTGCACAACTTTCCTGTTACGATCCTTGCAAGGGATGAAGCAAGACCAATAAAAATAAATAAGCGAGAAGCAGCTTGGGCGCTTATTCCATTCTCCTCTGAATACTTCACCTATAAAAATAATCAAACCAGTCAGTATATCATTGGTCAGTCAGTACAGAATACTTCATGGAAGGTGCGCGTTTGCGGTACAGTGTTTACCTACGAGTAGTTGACGTATCGGAAATCGAACAAGGGAGCAAAGTTACGAATACGGCTTGTTACGTACACGGTAAATAGGAGTAGTGATTAGTAGTAGCATACTTTAAGCAGCGTTTGTAAGGAAGATTTAAGAAGTGAAGACGAAAAAGTAAAAGAGGACTCTTTTACATTCTCGACTTCGTGCGATTTGCTCGAACCGCGTCCAACACGTGAGTTGGCAGTTTGCAGTAAATGTGATTCTAAACTGATCCTATTAATTATCTGATAGAGCTCGTCGCAGTAAAAATCAGTGAGGCTTTGGGCTACAACTACCCCATTGTACCACCCTATGAATGTTTTTTAAGTCCAGTTATTATGTAAAAAAGACTTACCAGATATATTAATGGAATGTATATCGCAAATGCTGTAACCATTAAAGAAATGGCAACCACAACGAAAGTAGGAATTTTCCACACGCTGCAGTAAAGAGAAAAGCTACTTCTTTCTTCTTTATTGTCCTCATTATTTTTTGCTAAATCGAGAACTTTAGTTTCCTGCAATTGTATGTTTGGGTTGTAAGTCAAGCCCAGGAGGCAGACAAGGGCGAAAGCCACGACCATGATCCTGTAAGTGCCTCTCCATCCAAACGAATCCAAAAGAAATTGAAGCAACGGACCTGTGAAAAAGACGCCAGTGCTTTCCCCTAAAGCTACAATACCAGTTGCCATGGACAACTTCTTTTTAAAGTACTGTGCGATTACAAGATAGCAGGAGTTGTAAATAAAACATATTCCTAAGCCAATTATCAGACCATGGGTGACGTACATGTGAGTGAGGCTCTTAGCAAATGACGATACCACCAAGCCGGTCATGCACAACGCTGCTCCCAGGAAGTTCGTGATACGACAGCCAAAACGATCACAGAGATAGCCAGGCAGCGGACTGGCAAACCATGCCATGCCCAAGGTTAGCGAACCGAGGCCCGCTGGAAAGAAAGTTGACGTTATTTTAAGGATGATCAAAAAATCTTGTTTACGGATGACGTCATATCGGCACAGCTTAGAAGGTCTTATTCAATTTCCTCATGTTTGATGATCATAAAACCATAAATATATGACTGCAAATCGCTCAGGAAATCGACGAGGTCATCCTAGCAAACACCCACGTGGTTTTAAAGGAGGGCCAAAATAACTTTATCTAAGGACGTTGTAAAACGAGTCTAATTATTTCTCTTGTAGTTAGAATTGTGTATATTATTCTATCTTTCACACAGAATAAAGAAGATATGTAAAGCAGTTCGTCTAATTTAACTTCATCTTGTATGTGGGTATTTAATGGCATCTTTACAACTACAAACTTATCCTTGATCAAGTGTTGCGGACCGCCGCTGAACATGGCACATTTCGCAACACTGTTTAGTACAATCTTAAATCCGATACTGAGGAAATTTTACGCAAAATTGCGAAATCTCGCATCTTGGCCTGAATATGGCCTGGCCTCGGTCAGGCTCTAATGATGTCACATTTTTATAGCAACCTACCACCAAATTTCACCGAAAGTGTCTGAGAAATAACATCCCAAAAAGACTCAAGGGCAGCTTGTCGTGAAGACGGTTTTTTCATGCGGGGGCGTAAGTTTACAAAAACGCAGGGTAACAAAAACGCTCCGAGAATGGAGTGAATGATCAGAAACAGGCGATCGGTGACATGAAAGGAAATCTGCTGGGACGCACTAGTTGCAATAACATTGTCAAGGACGAAAGGGAAAAAGAGCCCAGCCCATCTGATTTAATGTGGTAGTAAATAAGTTATTTTAGAAAAAAAAATGAAAACGATATACGAAAACAGTGATCGACCGAATGGGTCGAGTGTACTTTAACCGAACAGCAATAGTGTTGGTATTAGTGGAATACTTTGATCTAATATATTCCTTATTCATTGACTGTTTCTCGAGGGGGGCGTAAGGGTTTGCGGTGATGCGGTTTTGCGTTATTTTTGGTGCGGTTTTGCGGTAATTTTTATTGTAACTCGCGGTATTGCGGTTTCAA